TCTTCTGTTGTTTACAGTGAGAAATGGCAATTGATAACGGAAATTCTTCTGCGACTGTTGCGGCAACGACGATAGCCTCATCAAACCGGACTGTTGTTCTACCGGCAGAGAAATCGAAAAAAATTTCCGGAGCCAACTTCAAAGGATGGCAGCAAAGGGTGTTCTTCTGGCTTACCACACTTGGTATGCAGAAAATTACTAGTGAAGAACCTCCAGTGCCTGCTGCGGACATGCCGGACAACGAAAAATTCATGATTGTTGAGGCGTAAAAGCAGGTAGATTTTTTTTTGCAAAGGCTATATCTTAAGCGCTTTAGAGAATGACTTGTACAATGTGTACAGTGCGATGAATACTTCGAAAGAATTATGGGACGCACTTGAGAAGAAGTACAAGACTAAAGATGCATGCTTGAAGAAGTTTGTGGTTACCAAGTTTCTAGATTATAAAATGATAGACAGCAAAAACTGTTGGAACCCAAGTTCAGGAGCTTCAACTTATTTTTCATGACCTTATTGCTAAAGGTATGGTCGTGAATGAAGCATTTCAAGTGTCTGTAATGATTGAAAAATTGCCTCCTTCGTGGAGAGATTTCAAGAACTATCTTAAGCACAATCGCAAAGAAATAAAGTTGGAAGATCTTGTGATTCGTCTCAAGATTGAGGAAGACAACAAAACGGCCAAGAAGAAGTCTTGTGGAAATTCAACGATCATGGGAGCTAATATCGTTGAGGAGACTGCTCCAAAAAGTAAGAAGAGAAAGAGGTCTTCTGGACAGACTAAGGAGCAGAACAAAAAAAAATTCAAGGGCAGCTGCTACAATTGTGAAAAAACCGGTCACAAAGCCCCTGATTGTCGTCTCCCGAAAAGTATAAGAAGAATGGACAAGCCAACATAGTGGAGAATAATGATGACATTGATGATCTATGTGCAATGCTTTCGGAATGCAACCTAGTTGGAAATCTGAAGGAGTGGTGGATTGACTCTGGAGTCACTCGACATGTTTGTACTGTCAAGGAAGCATTTGTGACTTACTCTACTACTGGTCCCGAAGAAGAGCTTTCCATGGGAAATACTGCCACAACCAAGATTGAAAGTTATGGGAAGATATTCCTGAAGATGACTTCCGGCAAGGTGTTAACGCTCAACAACGTTCTTCATGTTTCTACTATTAGGAAGAATTTAGTTTCTACTTCTTTGCTTGTTAAAAGTGGATTCAAATGTGTATTTGTTTCTGATAAAGCTGTTGTAAGCAAGAATGAAATATATGTTGGAAAGGGCTACCTCACAGAGGGCCTCTTCAAACTAAATGTAATGGTTGTTGACAGTATGAATAAAATTTCAGCTTCTTCTTATTTATTGGAGTCAAATGATTTATGGCATATTCGTTTACGACATGTCAATTACAAAACCTTGCAGAAGTTAATTAGTTTAGAAGTATTGCCTAAATTCGAGTATAATAAATTAAAATGTCAAATATGTGTTGAGTCTAAGTTTGTAAAACATCCTTATAAGTCTATTGAAAGGAATTCAAATCCTTTAGACTTAATTCATACTAACATTTGTGATATGAAGTCGACACCATCACGAGGTGGTAAAAAGTATTTTATTACTTTTATTGACGATTACACTCGATATTGTTATGTTTATTTGCTTAATAGTAAGGATGAAGCAATTGAAGCATTTAAGCAATACAAGAATGAAGTGGAGAATCAATTGAATAAAAAGATCAAAATGATTAGAAGTGATAGGGGTGGAGAATATGAATTTCCATTTGCAGAAATATGTTCGGAATATGGAATTATCCATCAAACTACTGCACCTTACACACCTCAATCCAATGGAATTGCGGAAAGGAAAAATCGGACATTAAAGAAA